AGAGTATGGCTCAATAAGAAGCTGACGGCATACACCAAGATCCAGGTCTATAGAGCCTGAGTCCTGAGCACACTCCTGTACTGCAGTGAGTCCTGGACCCTTTGTGCATGGCAGGAGAGGAAGCTGAACACGTTCCATATGCGTTGGCTCCGACGGATTTTTGGTATCACCTGGCAGGACAAAGTTTCAAATAGAGTAGTCCTAAATCGAGCTGGAATTTTTAGCATGTATACATTACTGAAACAGTGATGTCTACTTGGCTTGGGCATGTTGTAAGAATGGCTGATGGTCAGATTCCAAAAGATCTCCTGTATGGAGAATTAGTGCAGGGAAATAGCCCCAGAGGGAGACCACAGCTGCGATACAAGGATATCTGCAAGTGGGATCTGAAGGCCTTAGGAATGGATCTCAACAGATGGGAAACCTTGACATCTGACCGTTCAGCCTGAAGGCAGGTGTTACATCATGGCCTCTCCCAATTTGAAGAGACCCTTGTCCAGCAGGCCGAGGCAAGGAGGCAGTCACAAAAGCAGCAAAATCAGGGAGCTAGATGGGGTACAGATTGTATTTGTCTTCAGTGTTGAAGGGATTGTCACTCCTGAATTGGCCTTCTCAGCCACACTAGACGCTGTTCCAAGTCCTCCATACAGAGCACGGTACCATAGTCTCTCGAGACTGAAGGATGCCTAATCAATCATCAATCAAATCAATCCATTCTGTTTCCTCTAATTAAGAGGGTGATTTCTTATCCACTTATTGACAAGTTAGCAATACACATATTGAATGGCAGTTGAGTACTGAAGGAAAATGTTAGTTGACACCTAGATTGGGGAACCCTGGGATTTGGGACACCCGGGATCAAATCCTGGCTCCTTTATGAAATTCAAGAGGTAAAATTGGTTCCCTATTTCTCAGTCTAGAATCTGGAGAAATCACAACAAAGTTATTCCTCCATTTTTGTGTATTGGAGTCACCTTTATTTTTAAAAATTATTGGCTGTGCTTCTCTCCAGAAATAGTGTATGGCCAAATCTCACTACGTGGACCATTCAAAACATGATGTGCAGCCTAAGGCTACCCTCTCTTGTATCTTAGAGTAGACCTATGGAGATCCAATTCAGACTGGGGCCAGTGCATACACAAGACGAGTTTGCCCATGCAGAGGTTAAAAATTGCTCTGCAGCACAACTACTCTCCAAAAGGGTCATTCCGCTCTCCATGCTAGAATGGTGCTCATGTTAGCACCAAGCACAAAGCCAGATTTTAAAAGCTGGCCAGAAAGAAAAGCCCTGAGGAACAACTAAATCCTTTTATGAATAAGCACCTATTTCAAAGGAAAACTCAGCACTGCTTTTTGACAAGTTGTAGTTTCTTCCTAATTTCTGTTCTGCTGATGTGAGAAATGGTGAGGTGGCCATTTGGCTGCCTGAAGCAAAGGGCACTTTGCCTAATGGTAGGGCCGGCCTTGAACTGTGGAGGTTGGCTGTGTTGAGAAAACAGCAGTGAATCATGGATTGCGCACAGGGGGCACCTCATCTTGCCATTTTGAAGAAGGCACACTCCCCCAGGCCCTGTGAGAAAGGGTTTTTTTCTTTTTCTTTTTGAGAATGTGGAACCGCTAAGGATTGGGCCTTTAGCAATGCTCAATTAGACTGACCTGAAGACAAACCTGATGGCAAAGTCCTGCCCTTTCATTGGACAAAGATCATGCTTACCAAGCGTGGAGAGGACATGACGCAGCTCAGCCCCCATGACGGTGCCGTTTCCCTCTTTGTCAAAGACCCTCAGCCCTTCCACGTAATCTTCATAGGTGCCTTGATCTTTATTCTTGGCGATGGCCTGTAACATGGGCAGGAACTCTTCAAACTCTACCCGTCTTGAATTCAGCTCTCATTGAAGGGAAGGAAAAAGACTTGTCACAAAGGCACAAAAATAAATGGGCTTCAAGGGCTTGCCCCCATATACTCCACACAACAATCTCACCCCGAACCCTGACTCCTCAGAAAACTGTCTTCAGTGGAAGTCCACTGGACTCTGTTGCTCACATCCTGAACGGGAGGAGAGGCTCCTGTGCTCCAGGCATGTCCTCCTTTTGGAATACTCCATTCTATCCCTGCCCCCAAACAATATGTCAAATTTCCCTGCTTACTCAATAAAACAGTTGGACCGTGGTATCCACAGGGATCGGTTTCCACCCCACCTCCCGGTGGAAGCCGAAAAATGCGGAAGAAGCAAATGCTATATATATATAGCATTGTAGTTCTGGTAAATACACCATGGAAATGTGTATAAATATGTATTTCTATGGATTTTTTTGTTTAATATTTTCAGGCAGCAGATAAATGAATCCGCGGATGCTGATCCAGCAGCTAGGGGAGCTCTACCGTATACTACTTAGTTCCAACTGGTCGGTTTGGGAGGGGCTCCGTACCTTGGGGCTCCCCTACCATTTGATGATGATTACTAAGTCTTGTGCTATTTTGTCAAAAATGTCAAATGTTAAAAATAGATGGAACAATAATGCTTAAAACAATAATGGCCAAGGCAAATGGCTTGTGTAGGGTGCCATGTACATTCCTAGCTCTGTCCCCATGTCTTTACCTTTGCATTTCCATTTGTTTCAGCATTTGAAATACTAACCATATGAAAATTTACTGGACAACATTGTGGAAAAAGATTTAAACTCTGTGATTCCTTCTGTGTACACAATGGACATTGTTTGTACAGGGAATAGCACACTCACTGCTCTAGCTATGTACTTGTCTCCCCAGTCATATGGTCTGGCTTTCTACAATTTATGCCAGATAATGAATATATTGAATTTAAAGCAAAATATTCCACCCCTTTGCTGAGTGATGTTCTGGGTGCTTAGGAGATCCAGGGTGGTAGGTAGGGCTGCATTGCACCTCTAAGTAAGATGAGTAATTTTTTGCTCTCTTCTACCGCTGTACTTTGAGCAGCAGTTCACTTGCAGACACTAGCTTATCCCCACATTTTTCCCTGGCTTGTAAAATGTGCAAATCAATCTCCTGTCAAAAACAAGAACAGGCCGGACTATTTTAGTTTTATCAGCAAGCCCACGTCACTCAGAATTTCTAGATGAAAATTCTATAAACAAGGAATTTTTCTTAAATGAAGTCTAGATTTTCTGCTGTAATCCCTTGATCCTGGAATCTAGCCCTCTTGTAGCCCCCTTGGATGGTCATCCTTAGCTTTCCCTGCATGTGTGATGATAAGAAAATAATTTAAAAAGAGGAGGCAACCTACCTTCAGGCTTGGGGTGTCCCAGTACTTTCCTGATCTCGGCATTGGTGGGATTCTGGCCGAGGGCTCTTATCACATCTGCACACTGGCTTAGCTGGATTTTGCCATCACCAACCCGATCAAAGAGCCCAAAGGCCTCCTTGTAATCTAGGAAGATCAAATCGAACTTTTAATGTGGTTCTTTGGCGATGAGGTCCCCTGCAGGGGGACAAGGGTTTTTTCAGGACAAAATCTCAAGCCTGCCATGCCAGCTGTCAATAGGATGATTCACATAATCCCAAGAAACTGGACACCCCCGTCTGGAAGCTCTGCTTAACCTGCCCAATTTCTGTCACTCATCATGGAAGCCAATGCGGAGAGACATGGAGACAACTTCCTCCCAAAGGGCATGCCCTGTTTGGGACATGTCTAAGGAGAAAATGATGGAGGTCTTGAAGGGCCTGGCTATTCTTGCTCTTAATGGAAAAGGGATCTCAGCAACCCTCCGGGGAAAAAGGAGGGGGGTTGTATGGCTCTTTGCAAGATTTTAGTTGGTGAGGAATAAACCTGTATATTTAGGACTTCTAATATAAGACTTCTAATCCTGTAACAACTTGGATAGTACCCAGGTACTGCAAATCATTAATTTTGTTAGTCACATTTACATTCTGTTCTTTTTCCCCAGTGAGTTTAAGGTGATGCGAATGGCTCCCCTCCCCATTTTATCCTCACTGCAATCCTGTGAGGTAGGCCAATCTGAGAGAAGGTCACTGGCCCAAAGCGATCCACGTTCGCTCTCCAAATACATCATATTTTACCAATTGACAAACAACAGTAACATTGAAAACAATCAGCATAAGTGTAATAGTAACAAAGAAAAATGATTAAAGACAAGCAAAATTAAAATGGAAGTACTAAAAGGGTATATGTATTATTGACCTACAAGCAAATATGTTACAAACATAATCTTAAAAAAAACACATAAAGGACACATCTAGTGCTCAGCCGGGTAGACTCTCATCCTTACATTCCTCTGGGGAAATTATGGCAGTTAAACTAGCCTTAAGAGTATGCAATGCATTACAGTTGCAGAGTGGAACCCAGCCTCATCAGAAACAACGGTACCTTTCAACCTTTTGTAATTCGTTACAGCAAACATGAAAAGAGATACTGCTCTTGATGCCTGAGAGATTAACAGATTGGCTGCTGCATACAGTCTAAGAACTCTGTTCTGAGATAAGCACCTATAATGTCTTAATAATACTCGTTAACCTTTAAGGTGGCACAAGGCTCAGGTTCCTCCTGAGGAAAAAGTCTTCAAAGCTTTTTCTCAGACATACAGAGAACAGAAAATGCACAATATTCATATGTGTCCCATGTGTTGAAAAATAAGAGGTATAAAGGTACAAAATATATAAAATGGTAGCTTTTCCTTTCAAAACATGGATGCTGGCTGGGAAACGAACTGGCCCTCGAACAGATCAGTCTTGGCTGTATTTTGAGAGCTCATACCTAACGTGCATCCACTCCTCATACTTGATCCCATGCCCACATGTTTTGTATCCATTGTGTGTAGTCTTGGCCAAATATGTTGCTGCCTTCGTGAGTCCTGGTTTCTAAATTCACAAGGAGTTTTGCTTGTTCCCTTCTGTCATGCAACTCACATTATTTCCCCTTTTTGTGTATAAATCCTTTCCCAGAATAGAGAGATTGAGTGACTGACAATAAAACATACCAGCATTTAATGAGATGACTGGGCTTATTCCATCTGACCTTTTGCAAAGGTTAATTGCTAAACAAACAAACAAACAACCGACAACTCCTGGAATTCCCTGACCAGCATGCCCAGTGGCTATAACTGGTTGGGGGATTCTGAGAAGCAGAAACAAAACAAAACAAAAAGGTGTGTGCGTATGTTTCAAAAAAGAGACCAAGTGCAAAAGGGTGGCAGAGATGGGTTGCAGTCCATAATGTTTCTGTCAGACAACACTTTTGGCTGGTATCCTGTTGGTGGACTCTGCAGCCCTCACAAGGTGTTCTGTCAGAGGGTTCCAACAGGGGAGCCCCACAAACTTGTATCCACCTAGAGGTTCCACATTCAGTGTCGCGCAACAGATGTTCGTGGCTGGTTCGTTCGTCTTGCGCACAGGGGCATTGCATGCCCCTCTGCTCTCTTGGGGCTTTGCCTCCAGCCATACATGCACATGTTTCTGATGCACAACTGCCAAACAGGATGCTTTAAGATGCCACAAGAGCCTTTTGTGATTGTGCTTCCATTTCTCCCTTCCTGCTGAAATGCAAGGGGAGCATTTCAGTAGATGCACCATTTTGTCCCCTACCCCCAGACTATTTGTTCCCCCTGAAATGGCTTCTTTTATACAGTCTGAACAGGTACAAAACACTCTGCCCAGCAAGGCAGGCTTCTTTTTTTTTCAGATGAAGCTTTCCTGTCCCAGCCCCATTCTCTTCTCCCTTGTGACTAGGCAGCTTCTAACAGAATGGGTTTCTCAGATCAGCTGTTTCAGCTTCCCCTGCAGAAAACTGAAACAGAGGTGTGGCAACAGAGGGTGAACTACAAAGAGGCTGGGCGGGGAGTGGGGCGTGCAGCTGTGAGGTCACTGCAATTATTGCTTTCTCTGTCTCAGTGGTTCCCAACCTTGGGTGTTCTTGGACTGCAACTCCCAGAAGCCCCAGGCAGCAAAGCTAGTGATGAAGACTTCTGGGAATTGCAGTCCAAGAACACTTGAGTTATTCAAGACTGGGAACCACTACTCCATTTGAAACCTGAAGCCTATCAAGAGTCAAAAGAGGAGTACTAGCAGAAGGCAGAGGTAAAAAACAAAAGATAAAATTTTATAGTACAGCTCTTGCAATCTTCCAGCCAACATGGAGGATCCTTGGAGCAGTAGTCTTAAAAAGGTGACTTTTCCGGGGAAGTTGGAGCATAAAGAAACAGTACAAGTGTCCAAGCGAACGTTTGGGATGTTTTGTTTTCAGCCAAAACACACCCGCCCCAATTGCTCCCCCCTCCCCTCCTCAGCCATGTAAAATGATGTGATGATACCGTGATGTGGCCTGACTGCACTTTGAGTTTCCCTGCTTCCAGGAGGAGCTGCCCATAAAAGAGACAAGGGTGATGGGACAAGAAACTCCAGAGCACTGTGACCTCATGGCATGCTTTCTGCAATTGCAGCTGTAAGGAGGAGGCGGAGGTGATGCAGGGCTACTGGTTTGGACAGCCGCTCCTATACAATCTATTATCTGGCCTTAGAAACAACGAACAACACGGAAAGTCAGCAAACAAGCAAGCACAGAGATGCACACACAGGTTTGCAAGGGTTAAGTAGTGAAGTAAATAAAAGTTTGCCTCCAGGTTATGCTAACACTCTCTTGCCCACATGCTCATTCATGCACCCGGGTGAATCTAGAGGGGGAGCTGGTGTCCTTCCTAGTTAAAAGAACTATTGGAGATACTCCCACTTTTTTTCTCTTTTATTGATTTTTTTTGTGCGGAGAAAAAAAATCTATCAAGTGGTGGGAAGATTAGAAAACTGAAGATGGGGATGCCGGCTTCTCCCATAAAATGCTGTGACAACCAGGATGATACCCTGTGTCTTTCAAGAAGAGTAGGTCTGATCTCAAGTGATACTACAAATCACTAGATAAATAGCCATTGACTTACCTTCCACCTGCTCCTTGGTGAATTCAATCTGCAAAGAGAAAAGAAAGGGATTGAAGGCCACATCACAAGAAATCACAGGAAATGGGTGACACTTTCCTAAGTGAGAATGACAGAGTTAGACAAGATGCTATGCTATCAAGCTGTTTGTAACCAACCTGTTGATGGAAACATATACTACTACTACTACTACTACTACTACTACTACTACTACTACTACTACTACTACTACTACTACTACTACTACTACTACTACTACTACTACTACTACTACTATTGTAGGGTTTAGAGACCTCAACCTCTGCCACAGCTAGATGTCTACAACAGATGAAAAAGCTCCAGACAAATGAACATGTTTGGAGAAAGAGGTAGCATTATGTGTTCCGTCAGTTTTTGGAAAGATCCATTTGTTCTTTATTCAAGAAGAGTTAAAAGAAGAATATTCCATTTGTTTGAGGCGGAGAGTCATGCTAAACAATTCTTGTGACCGCATTTTGAAAATAATCCTATCATCCTGTCCATCAAGGCTTGGAAGGGTCTTTAAAAAAAATAAAAACAAACTTGAATTCTTAAGACATGAATTGGCTTGCAGTTGACAAGTTCAATACAGTGGGGTCTTGACTTGAGAACTTAATCCGTATTGGAAGGCGGTTCTCAAGTCAAAAAGTTCTCAGGTCAAATCTGCATTTCCCATAGGAATGCATTGAAACCCATTTGATCCGTATCTGCTCTTTTCCGTCCATAGAAACTAATGGGAAGCTGCTATTCCGCCTTTGACCTCTAGAGGGGGATATTTTGTTCCTTTTTTCCTTAGATCAAGAAAGGTTCAGGGAAGGCAGGGAAAATACAGTCCAGGCAGTACCAGGCAGTCCGAAGACTGTCTCCCAATCCACTCTCTAAACGCTGGGAGGAGTGAGGAAGCAGACAGGCACCCTTTTCACTGGCCAACAGTTAACTGAAAGTTCACATTTTGCACTTTCCCTGCCTCCCATGTGGGTATTTTCAGTTCTTAACTCAAATCTAAGTATGTAAGTCAAGTCAATATTTTCCTATGAGAGTGGTTCTTAAGTCAAAATGTTCTTAACTCGAGCCGTTCTTAAGTCAAGACCCCACTGTATTGGGTTAGGGTCATGTGTTGCCTACTAAATTATATAAATCCAGTAACATTACTGATGCTACTGTCATTTCTGATATTTGTTTGCAGGTCTAAACTGCTCAAACTATGAGGCTTATGAATGTTAATCCCTACTGATTAATGAGTTGAGATAAAGGAAAATATTTTCTCAAATGATTAATAGCACTGTTGTCAGGACCAAATTAGTAAGGCATGCTGGATTATCAGTTTTACTTTCTGAATGGGTTGTGAGATTGCGAACATACGTGTTGCATTCTTAATATGATTGTGTTGTTGCTGTATATTTGCAATATTATTTGATGGCTAGAATACATAAATATTGCTGATTGTGTGGGCCCATAAACATTGCAACACCCCTCTGACATTCTTAAGAGCTTCAGGTTACCACAAAGACCGAGAGCCATCAGATTGAGGCAGGTTCCTCTGGGTGCAGATTCTGTTTGTCAAGAACCTTTTATGACATTTAACATATTAGTGTGTCAGTCTTCTGGCAGTGTGGGACATCTGTGAGATTTCCTTACTTAAGTTTCAAAATAACTCAACTAGTCTTGCTTGAAATGAGGAGGGGGCACCATGTGCACTGCTTTTTTTAAGGCTGCAAGATGTCTTGGGCCATTTCTGGGGAGATTTTGTATTCCTGGGTGCATTCATCTGGTCTCTCTCGCTGTGGGATGATGTCCCCATTTCTGGACTATAGCAAGCTCCTTCAGTCTTGTGACGTTGGAGGCCAGACACATTGGTACAAAAAGGGATGTTGAGTGGGCTAGTAATGCCAGTTCAGCAGGAGGTTTCTAGGAGCAAAATCAAGATCAGGTTTAAAATAAGGGCCACTCTATGATCATTCTCCTTATTAAAGCCCCTACCTCACCCGTTCAGGAATCCTGTAGCATTAAGAGGACGTGGTTGTTGACTGAACACCCCAATCCTCACGCAACCTGATCCTCCCTCTCTCAGAAGGTGGCATCCCAGCAAGTGGTGCCATGGAGGTAGGATTGAAATAACTGTTCCTTGTAAAAAGGGGGATATGCTAATCTCCCCTGCTGGTGGGCCACCTGTCTCTGTCCGGGGCTTTCTGAGAATGTCGGCCAAATACCAGGCTTTTGCGCCTGCTGTTCAGACCTGTCGTTAAAATAACAGGAACCCTTTCCATTGCTAAATTTATCTTGCCCCTCTAACCCGCTAACCTTACTTTCCTGCCCTTCCTAGTCAACATAGTCTAATGCAAGAGGGGCCCTGTGAAGATGGGAACATTTTTTCTATGCTTACCTGTCAAGTTCACCTTAACTCCTCTATCATAGGATGCTTCAAAGTTTACTGTTCAGCCTTTTGCTGTAAAACGCATGGCTGCAAAGACTGGAAAAGGTCACTCCCAGAATCCCTCGGCCAACTTGGGGAGTTGTGGTCCAAAAAACTAAAGTCTGCAAGCCCTAGTCTGGATCACATGGCAAAGCAGCTTCACAAAATGTAAAAATAAATACAGCCATTCACTTTGCATCTTGTAATTGCCCAGCCTCTAAATTTAGTGAATCTGTTGTTTGCCTTATAGAGCATACATTGTATAAGGTGGTATGGAGACGGTTGCTAGGAGGAGACTGGTGTGATTTGAAGACAGTCTCATGTCTTTACGCTACTCAGTTTTGCAAAAGTATATGATTTAAACAATACCAAAAAACTCCCACAAGAGTTAGCTCCTTGTTAACGTGGCTGAGGGATACATTCCCTAGATTGTTTCAGCCAAGTATTTTCCTTCTTTCTTAGCTGTTTTTCTGGAAAATGGACACAGTAGTTATGAAGACAAAGCAACGTATGGTCTTAAAATGGCAGAGGAAACCTCTACAACAAAATTCTAGGAAACCAACTGTTTTAGAGCTGCAGAGCTAGAAGGAACCCTATGGATGACGTTTCAGCTCCTGTCAAGGAGACACATTCCCAACCTTTGACTCTTATCTGGAGTAGGCAAGTAAGGAATACAAGTAACGGATGCAGTAATTTCTTCTGGCTTTTATTCTTATTTTTCTGGCCTCTATACATGAAGAAACCATTTTGAAAGCTGAGAAGTTTATTTTATTTATTTCTTATTTATCTATTTGATTTATATCCCGCCCATCTGGTCTGGTCGACCACTCTGGGCGGCTTCCAATAAAAAAGTACTGTACTGTATACAATAAACCATAAAGATTTTACAGACTATGACACATTCAGTAATAAAACAAATAATAAATGAAAGGAAAAAAGAAATTAAGTATTGACAGGAGGGAAGGCCTGAACGTACAACCATGTTTTTAATTGGCTCTTAAAAGTGCCCAGTGTAGGGGCCGCACGAATCGCCGGAGGAAGGTTATTCCAGAGGTGAGGAGCCACCGCTGAGAAGGCCCGATTTTGTATCCTTTCCTTCCGGGCCTCCCTCAGCGTTAGGCTCCTCAGCCTCACCTCCTGGCTCGTGTGGGTGATCTGGGTAGATCTAGGTGGGAGCAGGCGTTCCACCAAGTATCGAGGTCCTACTGTTTCTACTGTCTTTGACTACTTTCAATGAGAGAGATTAGATTTTCAATACTGTATTTTTATGTTAGGAACAGTTAGCTAGGCAATTAAAAGACAGTACCAAATGCCACATTCAGTAAAGCAAATAATAATGATAATAACAAAAACAGTCTGATTATATATACATTTTCCACTGTTCTATTTCCCGGGAACTGACTTCATTCATTGCTATGAGTAGGGAGGGAACTGTTTGGCTCTGAGAGATGAGCTGGACATAATCCAGTAGTAGGGGGGCTGCCAGGGATCTGAGTATCCCACCGAGGTCTGGGTTTTCTGGTTGCTGTCTATGTACCGGTAATTTCTGTGTGCCTGTCAGTGCACCAGGGACAGTGTTTATTTGCCATAACATGCTACTCCCTGGTAAATTCAGTTTTCCTTTTACCATGATCTTTCTGACAGGGATACATGTAGCTGAGGAAACGAGATGTGTTAATGAAAAGTTTATCATGTAGAGCTATAGTCACATGAGGTTTTGTTGCTGTTGTTTTCCAAATGTTGGTGGCTTTAAAGCAGATGTTCTCTCTGTCCTTAATCAATCCATTAATTTCATTCTCTGCCTTTGGATAAAGAGGTGTTGTGGCTTTTCAAAAACCTGCAAATCTGTTTGACCAAAAAGCCTGAACGAAAACAGGTTGTATGGAGCAAGGTGATGCCTCTTTCAGACCCTTTTAAGGTCTTTCCACAACCAGCATCTGCCTGTCTTCTGCCTCAGGAAATAGTTAAAACCTGATATTTTTAATTAGTCTGACGTGCTGGGAGGGGGGGATTAGGGGAAGTCGGTGGAAGAGGGTTATGTTCAGCTTCTAAAATTGTAAATCTGTTTCCATTGAATGATTATCTAGCCATATATTCCCATTCAGATTGCAAATTAATACAGTATTAGATGCTTGCCAATGATTGGCATGCATTTTCTTCCCACAATCATCATGTCCTGTCGCAGCCCTTCTGCTCCACCTCTGCTGGAGGCTAGTTACCTCTGTGATAAAACACCTCAGTCAATCCAGGTTGTCTCCAGACTAGACTTTTCTCATACTGACATCTAGCCTTGTTCATGGAAGTTGACAGGGCTTTCAAAGGTGGTCGTCACCCATCGCTAAGGTTCCCATGTCTAGAAATTCCCTCAGTAAAAAGCTCACCCTAGGGAACCCCTTTAGCCTTTAGGAGCTTGGCTGGCATCTCCTCACTCGAACCTGCCTCCTTCTGAAGAGAAAGAACCACTGCCTGGGCTCCTCCTGTTCTACCAGGTGGCCACCCACGCCCCAGTTACTCACCACCACTTTGGAGAGGTCAATCGGAGGCTCCTTTGGCTTCTGTGGTACCACTGGTGGTGGTGCTGCTGGTTCCGGTGCTTTGGCTTTAGCTGCCGGGCCAGCTGGCTTTGCCGCAGCTGGTTTGGCTGCTGGCTTGGGAGGGGGAGCTACAGGCCGCTTCACGGGAGCATCTTTCTTGGGCGGCATGTCGCTCTATAGCTCTGGCCAGAAATGGAGCAGAGGGGCCGATGGCAGCATATGTGGGCAGGGTTCCCCCAGCCCTCCTGCAGCTTAAATAGCTCGGCCGTAGATGCAGTGATGTCAGCCCAAGAGGAATCGCTGGGCATGGGGTGGGAGTGCATCTAAAAATGGGAGCATCAGTCACCTTCAGCAATGTGAGTTCCTCCCTTCATTCAAGACCAAAAGATCTCAGAGGGCTTTGCTACAGCTAAGCATCTTTTCGAAACTGCCAGGCCTTGGACGTGCCTTGATGGCACCAAGCCAGCCAGCTCTTTCAGCAAATCCGCCAGCCCTCAGCGCCTGTCGTATGGCTTTGCCAGTTAAAATTGCAGCCCTCCACCATTCGAAACAGTTAATAGGGGGCTGACCGATTACCCACTTGAGGGTGGGGGGGCACCCTGCTACAAATCATCTGCAAGTTTCTTCTACTTGCATTATTTTCTTCTCTCTCTTTTTGGCAATGGAAAAAAGTGTGTGGGGGGTTGGCACCTATTTATCATATCAAAAGTCAGAGATTGGAAGCAGTAACAACCTGTGTTCCCCTGGAGGTCATCATGGCATCATGGATTTACTAGCAAAATATCTCTCACATTTTCTGATGTGTCATAGATTCTCTCTCTCTCTCTCTCTCTCTCTCTCTCTCTCTCTGTGTGTGTGTGTGTGTGTGTGAGAGAGAGAGAGGAAAGTTCATTTGGTTTGAGGTGGGTGGAAAGAGCTTAGCAATGCTTTGCGGTGTCAGACAACAATAGCTGTGAAGTGTAGAGATTCAGTGGAAGAGAACGATGCCTTTCTCTCTCTTGCATCCCTGCCATCTTTTTATTTTTTGTTTATTATTGTTTTTGGTGCGCTGGGCGCTTTATCTTGGGAAATTTGGGCAGCGAATATGAAAAGAGGAAGTAGAAAATAAGTTTTACTCTTTGAAAGCCAGAAGCCTTGCCTTCTCAGTAAACCTTAGCAAAGCACTAGTAGCAGTAGCACTCCACACCCACCCACCAACGTTATTATGCATGGGGGGAGTAGTAGTAGTAGTAGTAGTAGTAGTAGTAGTAGTAGTAACTATTAACAATTCCAAGAATTCTCAGGCAGAATAACTGGTGTGTGTTATATTTTGTAAAAAGTTCCATTCCAATATCTTGTTTCTCAGCTGCAGTAGAATCCATTCTTTTCCTATACAGTAAATGTATCTTTGGCTTCTGAGGTGCTGAAAGGCCTTCTAACGATTTGGGTTGGAATGCCGGAAGTGGGCTGAGAAGCCCTTTCTGCCTCAGGATCCCATTTTCTCATGCCATGTTCAACTGTCACACACAGGACCATAATACCCCTCAGGCATACACACACCCAAAACACGTGTTCAGATGCATATATATGCAGATGGTTTCTTTTGCAATGTAAGTAATGTGTTTAGTTGTGTCATGTTGTTATCTTCATGTCTTGAGGCACTTAAAGAATATTGTGGGACAATATTACTATCCCCTTTCACCCTCCTTTTCTTTTTTTGGTGATGCGGGAGTGCCCACCCTAATTAATGAGACATGTTATTAAAAGCACCACCCAAAGTGGGCTGCCATTGAGAAGCAAGGGTCTCACTTCAATACAATTACAATTTCAATTTAAAACAATTAATTTAAAGAGAGGATTACCAAGATGGAATAGCAAAGCAAAGAAAAAACCACATCTGGAAAGAACATCCTGAATTACTGTTCCAATCTTTTCAATTTAAAATGCTTCATACATAAATATTACAGAGTAATTATATTAGTTCTTATTCCTCATTGTTACCACACTAGACTGAGGATTTATTACTTATATACTATGAGGCTAAAGCCTTATAGAATGAATTGCATTTTTGGTATTCTTTTCTATTTGCTCATCAGGGAGCAAACTACTTAAAATAACATTCATCTTCTCCTTTTACATTGTTTTGTAAAAGCTTCTATTCTACAATAGATTGATATTCTCATTGGTTTTACGCAGACTTCCACAACTATTTATTTGTTAATTTATGTTTCAAAGGCAAACATAACTCAAGCAGCAAAATAAATGACACTCCATTTTTTAATCTTTGCTATTGTCAACATAAAGTAAGCATAATTGTTTCCTTTTTCATGAAACTAAATGCCCTTGCTTCTGCCATCTTATCTTTTTAGTTTTTTGTGTACTGAAAACAAATCCCTTGTTTTGGTTTTGTTCCCAGCTGTTGTTTTTGTATAATGCGTTCACCTCTCTGAGGCACATTTTAAAGGGATTTTTAAAGTTTGGGGCAATGCATTTGCATCCTATTGAAATTATATATATATATATATATATGGCAAGAAATATATATATTTCCTGCCATATTTTCCTATCAAAAATCCAGAATTGACCATCATTCATTTTAGGTTCATTGATTCACAGCACATGTTATGTGGTGACCAACAGATGCCACGTTCCTGACCCCAAAAGGATGGCAATAGAAGGCAGAACCACAGGTGCAGCCTTTAGGGGAGGTGAAGGGCAACGTGTCTCCTCCTCAACTAATGCTAGGATTATTATTATTTTAATGTCCGCCTTAAAATTCCATAAAGTAAAAGCCTGCCTTGGCAACACACTTGTTTTTCTCTTAGGATAATTTTTATGTCAAAGCTAAGCTCAGGAAAAACAAATTACCAACTGGTCCACATTGTATGCTTGCTTTGCAATAACACAGTTGCCTAGAAAAAGTGCAGGGTGCAGACTTTAGCTTTGTGAGGGTCTGAACTTAAACAATTTCTATATCACAATGACTGTGGCATTATAGTTGAAGATGCACTAGCAATATTGGCTGAGGTCTCAGTTTTGTAGGGGGTTCTGAGAGATTCCATGTAAAATGAATATGCAGCCATTAACTTAGTTCATAGTCCACCATTTTTGTAGTGGGCTTGAGGTAATGTATGATAAACCTGTGAGGTAAGCGATGCAGTCAGCTTTAAACAGCTGCCCCTAGCCACAGAGGTCACTGCATATGCTTCTTGACCAAGAGCCACTGGAAACTGGCACTCCCACTCTGCCCTCGTCCCTGAATAAAAGAAGCCGTTTATTTCCACAAAGGTGTACCTCATCTGACCAGATCACGAGATTCAGCAAGTGCCAGTCAAAGACGTTGCCACTTTCATCTGTCAGCTCCAGACACATTATCCCGTGCCCTGAGCCGACAGAGACAGAGAGAGAGAGAGAGAGAGGAGGGCACTGAGAACCACAAGGCTGACCTGCCGCCTCAGCATCAAGGAGGGGTTGATGGATGGCTCCAGTTGTCCCACCAGAGCGACCTCCTTCACATTCCAGACAACTTCATGTTACAGCTTTATTCAAGGAGGAGGTTTTGGAATGTGCCACTGGTATCTTTTCCCCTTGAGGCAGATTTGTGTTTGTGCAGATGATGATTAATCTAGTAACAACAGTCGCAACATCAACTCCTGATGCTACAAAATAACAGCTGCCACTAATGCTTCTTTGGGGGAAACTTAGGATCCTAGCAGGGCAGGCTACATGACAAGGGCCAATAGCAATGCCAGCATCTCTCATGATCTGGGTGAAAGACAACACAGACACCTGGGGAGGATGAACCCTGGAAAACGTCCATTTTGTTGGCATTTCACACCCTGTTGCTTCTCATGTGCAGTTCAGCAGCTGGGGAGACAAGGCCCTCATGTATATAAATGGCTCCTGAGAAGAACAGGAGACTGGGGGGATGTTTCCTGGATATTCACCCACCTTTCCTTCCTCGATATATTGTATCTGCCTTCCTGAAGTAAAGAAGTTCATGGTTATGGCACTCACCATGGGCTCCCTTTAGCCCAAAAAAAGAGGAGCAGACAGCACTCTTTTTAAGGGCACTTTATCTGACCCGATGGCAATACGCTATACATACATGAGAACAGCAGCAAAATCTGCGCCAGGAGAGATATTTTGCTAATATTGGGCCCCAGGAAAATTGCCTGACCTCCACCTGGCCTCATCACCCATCTAGAATTGGCCGCCTGGGCTTAGAATAATAATAATAAAAAGGATGCCTGAGAAAGCGGTGGTAGGGATGGGGGGGAGTCCCCACCTCTGTCACCTTGTGGCCTCATAAAGAGCATGACACCTCCTATGTAGACCTCGACGTAGGGGACACAGATCTGCATCCGGGATGCATATGCTAATTTAGATCTGCAAATAGAAATGAAGGTGAACAATCTAGAACTGACAAGAGAAAAACCTGTTGTCTTCACGGGGAAGTCTGGAACCAAGTGCTGCTGTGTCTGCCCTCTGGTTGCCCGTGGTGGGTGGGCAAACCTTGGAGGCCCCCTCCCTGCTCTCCAGTCTTCTGGGTCTTGAACTTGACATGGGTTGGACAGCCTGTCAGACAGAGGATGCCTCCAAGTTAAGTGGCAGCCCTCTATAAAGAAGGCCAGGCGACCAACCTAATGCAAAAGATCCCCTATATACCTGTACCCCTCCATCCCCAACAAGCAGAATCGGGTCATTTCCATCCAGATTTCAAGCGGTGTCTTAATCTAGAACTTTGGATCCCATTTCAAATCTTTTTAAATTTACCAGCATGAAGCAACGGTAAGACCCAGAGCCAGCCAAGGGTTCTGTAGAGCCCACAACTGAAAACAGAGGAGGCCTCCCAGACCAGAAGCCAATTGTTCAGAGGCCAGTTGGTTCTGGAAAAATTGACCTTCAAAGTAGATGTGAAAAGAGGGCAGGCGTGGGATGATTTTGCTCAAGTTCTTATATAACGTAACGGTTGAGGAGCAGTGGAAGCCTCTAACCCTGACCTGCTTTGACTGCATACCAGGAGAAAAGAATGGCACGCATTATCTGGTACACACATCACAGCTAGCTGAGGCGCAGATATACTGTTCCTACCATGAAACAGTTTCACTACTATTTTAAACTGTATCAGATGTGCTTTTAAAAATCCAGAGTAAGAGGTGGGTGGGAAAATGAATCCTGAGGATGCTTTTAGAGAATACTGTAGCTTGGTTAACATACTAATAATATATTGTTCAGGAAGATGGAATAATTTTAACGTCAGGATCTTTGTACTTCCAGAATTAATTCTCACCTGTTTGTTTTACTGGCTAATTTGGAGATACTGTACCATGGCACTTTCACTCTCAGTGCGCTATCATCACCCAGAAGTCCTGACTCATTCCTAATGTGGTGGTGGAGTGGATAAAGGGACAGACTAGGGCTCTGGAGAACAGGGTTTGAATCCCCGCTCCCCCATGGAAACTCACTGTGGGAGTGGAAGTGGTAAAGGCACTCCTTACATATCTCACCTTGAAGGTCCTATTAGGATCGCTACAACTTGATTGGTGGGGCTTCAAGGGAAGGCCTTCTCTGTGGCCACTCCCTGACTGGCACTCTTGCAGTGGCCAGGCTTATCCCTCCTGGCTGCCCTTCCAAGGGCAGGCAAATACCTTTACAGTGGGGTCTTGACTTGAGAACTTAATCCGTATTGGAAGGCGGTTCTCAAGTCAAAAAGTTCTCAAGTCAAATCTGCATTTCCCATAGGAATGCATTGAAAACCATTTGATCCGTATCTGCTCTTTTCCGTCCATAGAAACTAATGGGAAGCTCCTATTCCGCCTTCGACCACTAGAGGGGGATATTTTGTTTCTTTTTTTCTTAGGCCAAGAAAGGTTCAGGGAAGGCAGGGAAAATACAGTCCAGGCAGTACCAGGCAGTCTGAAGACTCCCAATCCACTCTCTAAACGCTGGGAGGAGTGAGGAAGCAGACAGGCACCCTTTTCACTGGCCAACAGTTAACTGAAAGTTCAAATTTTGCACTTTCCCTGCTTTCCACGTGGTTTTTTTCAGTTCTTAACTCAAATCTAAGTACTTAAGTCAATATTTTCCTATGAGAGTGGTTCTTAAGTCAAAATGTTCTTAACTCAAGCCGTTCTTAAGTCAAGACCCCACTGTATTTCAGAGCAGGGATCCAGCAATGAACAGCCTTCAAGACAACAGGATTTATTTGGTTTTCTTTCTCCTCCTATTTTTTCGGGGTGTTAAAGTATCATTAGTAATTTAAAGTGGAGGTTTTTAAAATGTTTTAATTGTAACTGTATTTTAATACAGTAGGACCGCTATATCTGCTGGGGATTGGTTCCAAGCCTCCCCTTGGAGACTGAAAATCATGGATAATAGCAAATTAGACAGACAGATACTGTACAGTAGTACCTTGGTTTATGAACATCTTGGTTAATGTAATTTTAGCTTTACAAACATAAATCCATTGAAAATAATGCCTTGGTTTACGATTTATTTCCGCAGTACAAAACATGTTTCCCCAGGATGCATTGTGCCTGGAGGTTTATAGTGCCACCCAAGTTCCAATGGCAAACCGCATTTTGGTTTACCAATTTTTTGCATTACGTAACATCCCAGAGAACACATTACATTCATAAACAGAGGTACGCCTGTAGATAGACAGACAGACAGGCAGATAGATAGCATGGTAACAGGAAAAAAAGCCAGAAAAAAGTTTTTTTCACATGTACAACTGGCTACTACAGGGTGCCCGAGATAATTCTTCATTAACAAGAATAAATGAAGCTCCTTCTCGTGGCTGGTTCTGGTAATGTATATGAAAATACAGTGGCGCCTTGACTTACGAATTTAATCCATTCCAGAAGATGGTCATAACTCAAAATGGTTGTAAGCACCATTTCCCATAGGAATGCACTGGAATGCGATTAATCTGTTCCAGATGGGTGGAAAATTACCCCCCCCAAAAAAACCACTGAAAGCCCCATTGGAACATGTCGTGGCCAAAAAAAAAATCACCAATAACCAAACAAACACAGCAAGCCCCATTGGAATGCACTGGGACTGGGGAAAAAAACCCCACACCAAAACACAAAATAAATCACAACCCCCCAGCCCAAATCCACTCTGCAAAACCCTGTATGTACTCACTCAGAAGCAGAAAGCAGCACCAGGCAGTCCGAAGCTGCCTCCGACGCACACTCTCTAACCGTTGGGGCAAAAGAGCTACGAAGAAGCAGCCTCTTCGTCAACCAATGGTTAGTACATTTGAATTCCCCACCTTTCCTCCCACCTTTTTTCCAGTCTACCTTGAAGCTCTGGTTGCAAGTAGAAGCAAAATTTTGTGGCCAGAGCTGGTCATAACTCAAAATGGTTGTACGTTGGGATGCTCGTACGTCGCGGCATCACTGTAGTTTTTTCTGGATTTTTTTTATTTTAATATTTTTAATATTTTCAGACCATGGATAAGTGAATCAGAGAATACTGATCCCATGGATAAAGGGCCCCTACTGTAATGCAATGAATCAAAGTTGATTTTAATATTTGTACTGAACTGTACTTTAATATTTTTCAAAACTTTATTGACAGCTGCCTTGGGTCTCAGTTCTGGAGCACAGGCATTATATAAATAAATCAAATAAATAAATAATACATAAAAGCACACAGCATGTGCAGGGGAGACATGTGCATCAGCTAGGGGAATACCAGAAGAAGGTATTTTTGCTGCTGAAAATAACTTGCTTTTCAGCATGCAACGGATTCACCAGACATGGCTCCTTGCTGACGAAAGCTACCTACATCTTCAAGACTGGCTCAGGCCTGTTTTTGAACTGTGAGCAGCCCAAAGCCATCTCAGCTGTTCTTCCTAAGATACCACATAATAGTACACACAGTGGTATGTGGTGATTTTTAGATTTTCTTGTTCCCTCCACGTCTCTTTTCCCTTTTGTGTTGTGCCATTTTGGATCATAAGCCTGACAGCACAGCATGTCTTTCGTCAACATCTATGCCATCTCATCCAAGTATGGGATGTAAAAACAATGTTAACAGCTACAACAGCACTCGCCCTGGAGGTGCCGAAAAGACAGCTGTTCTTGAAAATGGCAAATGCGGCACCACTCCAACAACTGGCAGGGTGTAGGGAAAGGTAAGTGCATCTTGCACCCCCAAAAAAGGCAATTGTAAAGGGAAAGGATTGAGTTACTTCATCCACGACAAGTTCACATGCCTCCTGGCAATAGGTGTCAAAAACTCGCTCGGCCTTCAATAGTGCTGGTCTCCATGGAAGACCAAGACGGGTCTCCACGCTGCTGCCTCATTCACACAACAAGTACAGTATTATGGAATGCCAAAGGACATGGGGAGGGCAGGAGGCAACCCAACAGGTGAAGACTGTGTGTTGAGTGACAGTCCTGCCTTGGTTTGCTTACATTTCAACAATTTTGAGGAAAGGAAAGAAAGAACCTTTCACTGACAGCAAGTCATCTCTTACAACAATGGACTGGGGAAAAAAATTAACACCAAATAATTGTCCCAACCGCCTTTCCTTGAGCCCCCTTCGAGCGCTGAATTCCCATCAAGCGCTATCTGGTAGCAGCGGTGATGAGTTTGTGTGTAAATAAAAACAAACACCTTATCATCTTTTTTTTTTCTCCCGTCTTTATTTGCTACAATGAGTTGCAGTGACTGCGATGAGAGGCACGGATGCAAAAAAATTGCACTCTTTACAGGAAAGCCTGCTTGAGGGAAAGCACAATCGGGAGCCTTGCTTTGGCACAGAAGGCAGCGCGTGATCAGAGCTCTTTACGGGCATGCACCCTCTCCCTGCTGGCATCCTCTTTCTTGGGGCAGCAGGGCCTGATTCACAGAGAGAAGATGGTCTGTTTTGCCGTGTCAAACACATTCGCTACGGTCGTACATGTAGAAATACACAAAAACAACAACAACAACCACCTTCATAAACAGACTAGAAACAATGTTCTTGGCTTCTTCAGAAATGTGAGAGAGTGTGAGGAGAAAAGGAGAAGGGCTGGGGATCAGGTGTCCTCTTTCCCGGCTCTGACGGCGAGGTGTTCCTCATAAGGAAAGGGTTTGCTTAGAGGTGAGATTCATAGACTGTAGAACTTCAGATAATGCAGCAACGAAATGCCTTCCCTCTCTATTTTGGGAACATTAGAAGCATGATCCTCTTGTTCACCCTGAGATCCTGGCCACCTGCCTTAGATTACCAGGTCTAGAAAAGCAGAATAAACCTACAGCTCAGAGGCCTCTGTGAGGATTTAGCCTCCTGAAGGCTTATCTGTGTGATATATATTTTTTTAAATCACTAAAGCGGTATGATTCTCTCTCATAGCAACACCATACAAATAACAAACCTCCATTTAAAAACAAAAACCTCAGTGCAGCTGCCGGATAACACCCTGAGGAAAAAGTCCAGGCTGCCCACTGCTGTCGGGAAGGCGCCCCTCATTAAAGCCAGCAATTAGCTCTGAGGCGCAGGCACGGGCAAAGATCTGGAGGAGCTGTTGCCATTCCAGTGTGTTGGAACAGAGGCATCGACCCATGTCCACCCAGCAATAAGCCACAGAGCACGACAAAATTACATGCCGCGATTTTTCATTACGAAAAAAAAGCCAAGAAGGGAAAAGGGGCTAAGCGCTTTTAAGTTTTTAATGTGCGAGAAAGCCTCAGACACAAATATTTAAAATTCCCTGCACTAGCAAAGAAAACAGTGTATGCTTAGAGAGCAGCCTCAGAGCATCTGTCCTATCCCAAGGCCACCTTTTGCTCCTCTCCTCACAAACTTCGTTGTCTTTCTTTCTCTTCACCTTTCGAAGTATATTCCAAGCCAGTCAAAATGCAAATATGGCAGGCTCATTCGGTAGGTAAATTCTGCCTATCTGCACATCTGATCTGGAGCATGGAATTAATATATCCTAGCTATAGGGTGCCACCAGCCCTGGAAGCCGGTGAAGGAAGAGTGAGGACTGGAGTGTATAAGAAGGCACCAAACAACATTCATTTGTAAAACGTAACAGAAAAGTGATGTCCGGGCGTACGCACACACAAATACTGCAAGAAAGCTGCCTGTACTTTTGGATTAGACGCACAATATGACGCAAGACAAAAAGGGGGAAAAAAACCACATGAAATGATTCCATTAAAAGTAGCCAGGATCAGAAAGAATGGGTTATGCGTTTGCGTGTGTGTGTTAATCATAAGTTGCTGGCAGGAGAAGAGATCTGCAGGCAAGCAGGGATGGGGAAATTGTGCCCGGTGGGGCACAAGGTAAAATGCACAGAGGTCAGAGCCAGGGACTTCCCAATTAAGGAAAAAATGTATTTTGAAATGCAAATGAAAACTGCTTGGCTACTTTCACCTCCTTTCTCATGCCTGCTTTTTAACCCTTTCATTCAAGTCATCCGCAACCTGCCCCTTAGTGACAGGACTAGGGCAGCATTGCAAACACTGTTCCCACGACCATCACGAGAAAATACTTGGTCCCTCTACGTGGCCTGGTCTCCCTTTATCCTTCCTGCTGATGCCCTGGCACAGGCTACAGGCCTCCGGTCTTTTCACTCAACCTCTTGTCCCTGGGCTATGAAGCATCAGCTCACACAGCATCTGCAAGCTTGAAAGAAACATCCTCCTCCACAGAAGGATGAAAAAGGTCCATCTCTTTGGTAAGAAGAAAGGCAGCATGCGGTTTGCAATGTTGACTGAAGCACACAAGGGTGAATGCAACAGATGAGTCTCCCCTGTCCACCCCCCCTCTGACCCCTCTTCCAAAACCCACCTAAGAGTCATTTCTTCACCTCTACCAGCTTCACACAGAAAACGCAGATTCTAGGAACACAACACTACGATTGGTTAAAAACAAACAAACAAACAAAAAATACGGAAAAGGCCATCCAGCAGAGGGAAGTGAGCCTGGATCCTGCAGTGAAGGGTGGTGGCGGGGCGGCGTTCATGCCAGCTCTTTTAACTCCCTGCAGGGTTGCAATTCAAGAAAGGAGGAATAATGGAGACTAAGAGCTGGATTTGTCATCTTTTAAGTCGTACCTGCAAGACAAAGAAATCTTGGTTAAGAACAGAAGAATCCTGCTAGTTCAGATGAGAAGCCTAGGAGGTGGTCTCTCTCCGGCACTAAAGTTCCTACAAAGACTGAACAGAAGATGCCTTTGGGAAGCCCACAAGCAAGTCATGGCCGAGGCAGATCCCTATAATGATCCTGGTTTTATTCTACCTGTGGCTTTGAGACGTTTGGTATCGCAGTTCACAGAATGATTTGTCCAGAGCCTAAGAAATGCCAGGAAGGTTGGAAGACTCTGGGTGCTGTCGTTTACCGAATTAACTTATTTATGCTCTGAGAAAAATCCGTCCAGAAAGCAAAACCTGTTCTGTGGGGATCTGCAAGATGAGAGGAAGTAGGGATCTTGCAGATGAATTCTCAGGCTGGTCAGATTGCAGCAGGGAAGCCAAAGAGGCTGAAGGGAGGGGAGGCAGAATTTGAGGAAGTTGTTTGATTAGATTAGCCTCTGCCTGCCCACTGATTCTGGTATACAACTGCCAGAATCCTACCACTGATTAATACTTGTGTAAGGGAAATCACATAAGTCTTGGCAGCAAACTGCTACTCATTACCAAAATGCTGGACACATTCCCAGGGACACACTATTGTTAACGGATGGAAATTCCCCACCAAGACTTGTGCAATTTCTGTTAGGCAAGCGAAGATCAGCAATAGGATTCTGGCCCGTTAGAGGTAGAAAGGCAGATCCGTTCTGCACACTCCACTTCCCTGTTCCCATCCGTCCCTCCTGTACTCACCACTGGGCAGCACCCTGAGTGAGGTCCTTCTGTGAGAGGTCAATTTGCACCTGGGAAGCACAAAAACGGAGGACATCATTACGGTGCTTCCTTCTCTCCCAAAGGGAGCCCACTTGCTACCAGAGCCGAAACTACGGCAGTGCCCACGCCATGTACCTTCCCAATTGGCTCTCCTCGAGACATGAAAGACACACTGTTTTTGATGTAGGCCTCCAGCTTCCTTCGCTGAGCTTCTTCCAGGGTTATATCCCATTCAAACCTGTTGCAATGTTATTGTATTGATTCAGTTATTTTTGTTTGCATAACAGTCACATAAAAATGGGCACAGCCTCAGGATCTCTCCTGGAGGCAGTGTGCTTCAGAACTTTTAGAAACAAATTAATGAAGGGTAAGTACAGTGGTGCCTCGGATTAACCTTAAGTACAGTGTTCTGGATTAACCTTCGCTATAGCGAAACATCGCTGAACGGGACAGGGAAAGCCACTGGAACGCATTAAACATCGTTTAATGCGTTCCAAAAGGCTCCTTTAATCACCGTTCAGCGAAGTTTCCTATGGCC